CTACAAATCTACAGACTATTTAATTTCAATAAGAAGAAAACATATTGAACATTATATATAATACTTACATATATATATATATGTATAGTCTTATGTCTACAATTTTACATCAAATAAAAACATTGTTAAATTTAGTCATAAAACACATATAAAACAATAACAACAAAACACAATTTTTCAATTTTGTATAATTAAATTAAAAAAAAATGGGAAAAAATAACAAAATAATGGTTAAAATTTTACTAATTAAATTAACAAAATTTACAAAAAGAATTAATATCGTATATCTAATAATATCGTATATCTACATAATGATAAAAAACAAAATATCGAATAAAGATTATATAAAGTACAAAAGTTTTGTTATTCTAAAGAAAAATGAAATTCTAAAAGTTTCACTGATTGTAACTTGTTTTCACTTACTTGATATTTTCATATTTTATGACGTGAAAAGAATAAGCACATATCACTTTAAAATAATGGCAATCTTTGGGCATTTTAGAAATTTCGCACCTCAGCAAATTTGGCACTGAGTTGATATAACGAAGGGATTGAAGTTATCAAGTAAAATTCACAGTAATTCCAATTGTAACAGGCTCTAATTTGTAATACACTTTTAAATTCAGTGTTCTTTGACAGAATATTTGAAAGAAACCCCAAGAAATTGCAGTGTTAATTTTGATTACCCCATTTCTCATTACAATATCGACAGACGAACAATTTAATATACAAAATTTAAATATTTTTTTAAAATATTTTGAAAAAACTTCGTGTTCGTTTTTTGTTGTTTTTTTTTTTATCTTTTATTCGCTAAATCTACATTAATTACTTTGATAGGAAGATAAAGTAAAGAAATCGCATTGTTTAAATAAAATTTTTATTCCCGGTATAATAAAACGATTTGAAAATTATAAGTATATAAGCAATAATAATAAAATAATTTCCCTTTTCGATATTTTACGTAAGCAAATAATTAATTTTCATTAATTAGAAAAGAAATTTCACATACTTATATTTAATTATAGAAATACATGTACATTGTACTTATTACAGCTAAGAATATGCACAAAAGATTATTTTATCAAATATTGTATAGGTATACAGTACTTTTCCTAAAAATGTTTACCCAAACATATTTCACAAGAAAGCCGAAAATGAATAAACTTCAAAAGTTATTCACTATGTACATTTATGAATTGTTGAGTCGAGCATAAATTTATTACACATCTGAACACGCAAACTCAGTCACTTATCTCGATCAGATGCAAAGGTACAATTATTCGCCATTATTAATCACTAAGTAACCGAATTGCTCTCCTTTCTTTCAATTCTATTGCAGCATTTTTATTTTCTTGGGCCTCAAACATAATTACTTGTTCATTTTTGCACAAATTTTATTTGTTAAATTTCCAAAATATTTATTAAATTTTGCTAAATTATCAAATTAATTTATCATCACATATGTTTAACATATTATAGTACAAAAATATATAAAGAAAAATTCAAATAATGTGTATTTTAATTAAAATTTACTGATTAAACATTAAACAGAAAATTTAGACTATATGTACATTATGTTGATGAATAATAACGTAAATAATAATAATAACTAAAAAAAAATGGTAAATAAGATGAACAAAATAAAGGCCACATGCCGTACTTTATTTCATTAACAATAATTTTAATATATATACAACAATAAAACTGGCAAATGCGTAGGGTCCGCATTTGAGAAGTGAAAATATTGTCACTATCAGCTATTTTTATAACACTTGCAATATTTCAAATAAAAAATTTCAATTTTAAAATTTAGTTCCAATATTTCACACTTTATAATAAGCATTATAGATATTCGCATTTAATGTCTTTCGGAATAACTCCGAATCCGAACTATATTGAATGTATCTTAAATTTCTGAATAACACGGAATTGCAAAAACAAAAGAAAAATTTTATTGTTTTTCGAAATTGACTACTCCAACATATTTTATTTATACATATACTTCTATTAACAAACTTAAATTGATATTTTCGGAATTATTGCAATCAAATTAAATAAATATTAATTTTAAAAATTTTATCAAAAATTTTTATTATACAATGGCTTTGGAATTTTTCTGAGTACATTATTTGCAATTCTTTTCTAGAATCGATAAACACATACTAATATTATCGTGATATTATAGATAATTATAATTTAATTAAATAATTATGAATATAATTAATTATTATTAATTTTCGAACTATAATTATAAATTTTAAATAAATTTTCTTTTTTCTAAAACCTTACCATTTTTCTGATTTTTTCTTTTTTGAATTATTCCAAAAAAAGTTTCTTATATATTTCGAATCCCTTCCTTTTTTTCAAATATTTTAAATTTTATTTTAAATTTTTTAATTATAATATTAAATTTCACTTAATTACTTTTTCTCAGTGTTATCTCTCACAATTTTAATTTAAAATAAGAATTTTTTTTTATTAAAAATTAAACAGGTGCATATTCCATCGTGTTTTTTTCTTAAATAACCTTAATTCTTTAATATTTCACGATAAACTAAATATCATAAATGAAAATTCAAATCAATTAAGGTAAGTTATTCTAAAATTATAAGGTTATACTAAAATAATAATAATAAAAAAAAAACAATAACAAAAACAGTGCAAATTATTAATAAAAAAAAAATAAAATTGAAAAAATTGAAAAAACAAAAAAAAAAACAGAGAAAAAAAAATATTTCTGTTTTATTTCTTTATTATCTTATCTCACCTGTTTAATTTATCGTTATTTTTTCATGATAAGTATATTGGCTATACACACGTATGTATGTATATGCATATGTGTACATATTCTGATTAATAAAGCTTTCATATCGAAAGTAATAATATCTAACATAGTAATTTTTACTTTCCCGACAATTTTCAATAAAGAAGGATTTCAGAAATTCGAGTCAGAAATTAAACGAAATTTCCGAACTTGAGTTATTGCACTAAATATGAATTAATTGTCTGGTGTAATTTTTGTGATAAACTGCTATACACAGGACTATAATAAAAGAAAAAAAATTTTTGTTCTTATTAATATCGCTACCATTTTAATTTCAAAATGAGAATTGTAAAATTTTAATATTAAAATAATAAACATTTAAAACTCACGTGCAATTTCACACTAGTTATCATTAATATTTAAAACCGCTATTCTATACTTTAATAAAAAGTGTTCGTTTCTCTTGTGAAATTGAAGATAGTTATATTAAATTTTAAAGTTGAATTAATTAAATTTTAAAGTTGAATAAATTACGAGTATCATATTGAAATTTCGAATTCCACACTAAATTAATTAACATTTCATATGAAATCCACATGGTAAAGAGTGAGTCACTCACTTTTAATAGTATTTAACGTCATTCGCTCATAAAACTCAACGTCATTCCAGAAACTATTATTTTACGAGTATTGTTTGATTTTGCCTGTAGATGGAAACTGTTTCTGCGTTGCACTCGTTCAGTCATTGGATTTTTTAACTATTTCTAAATCTAAGTTTAAATAATTGACTTAACATTTAATTTCAAATTTCCAACATATATCGGGAAAATTGCAAAATTTTTAGTCATTTATTCTCCGTTATTATCAGAAACTTTAAAACAAAATGTAGTATAACGGGAATGATAAAAATCAATATCAATTTTATTTATCACAAAAAAAAGGAAATTCAAAACCATTGTTCACCAATCAATTTCTGATTTCTTACAAAATTTATTGAATTTTCTTTAAAAAAAATAATTTAAAGAAAACTATAAAAATTTTTTGCAATTTCTAACATTATCAATGCTCTTACATAATTACAATATTGTTTTATTATTTAAATTAAAATTATTTTATCTACACATTCTATTAAAACGTTGGTTTTTTTAAGTTTATTATCAACAAATACTTTTTAATATTAATTTCGTAAAAAAATCTATTTTATAACAGAGAAATTTAAAACAGGAAGTTAAGGCGTTAACAATATTTTCTAAATAATTATAATTTCTGTAATTTAATTACCTACATATATTAATTATGAATAAAAAATAATAATTATTTACTTTTACTTTAAAAAAAATTAAAAAATTTTGTATAAATTTTCGAATATATTAGTAGACATTATTTATAAAACAAAATTGTATTTATGTATAATAAATTGATTGAAGTTTATTACATTTGAGACTAAAGATAATAAGTTCAATGAGTAAATATGATAGCAGATAAACGCTTGCCATCACATATGTATGTATACACAATGTCATCAAAGTTATGCAGTTCTCTCCTTGCAAGGGTAACGACGTTATGAATATTTCGTTGATATTATAAAATTTTCCATTAATTTGACAATATATGTATACATTTAAGATACGATAGATGAAGACATTCAAAAATGAATTCATTTTGTATTCAAGCTCAAACTTTATTAAATACATACAAACTACTAATACAAATTGAATTTTAGAAAAAGATTGAATATTGATATAAAATTAAATTTTACGAAAATAAGCTACATATCATTAATTTATTACGTATAATCAAATTGTCCGAGATATAAAATTTAATCATACAAAATGTATGATCATACAAGTCCATCATACAAAGTGTTTGATCATATGAGTTCATCATACAAATTGTATGATCATACAAGTTAATCATACAATTGGTATGATCATACAAATTCATTATATACAAAATGTATGATCACACATTTACGCCACCTCTACAAAATTAAAAGAATAAAAAGTACAAAACTAGAAAATACTTATTGTTATTAAATACTAGAATTCAATCTTACTTAAAATTAAAAATTTACAAAAATCTATTTCACTGTATGAATACACATGTATATATTCTAATCAAACATACAACACAAAAAAGAACAACAGCAGCATCAAAGAAGACCATCAAGAACTTTTTATTGTAGCAAAATTATATATATATGATTATTATATTATATAAGTATATTTTATACTTACAGATTGAGTTGACGCTGACGGCAATGGTGATGATGACAACGACGAAAACTGAATATAATGTTGATTATCATCATATAAAGGATAAAGCCAATCAAATGAAAAGTTGAATATACTTAAAACCCAGCAAAATTGTTTGATACCCCAATTACTTAATAAACTTAAAAAATTTAAATTGATACGATTTGATTCTATAGTTGAATCGATACCACCAGAAGTACTAGTAGTGGTAGTAGTAGTAGTAGTAGTTATAGAAGTAGTGGAAGAAGAACAACATCTTTTTTCTTCAGCATTAGTTGTTGTTAGCTTTATAAATTTATTTTGTTTTTTTTTTTGTTATTATTATTATTAATTTTTTTTTTGGTTAGTTTGGTGTTCAATAATATTTTGATTGTTGGTAGTTAATTGGTAGTTAGGTGGGCACAAAAATGTAAATTAGAAAAAAAAAATAAAAAAAAAATATTATTTTAATTTAATTATTTATTGTAATAAAAACAAATATTTATTACACATTATTAGAATAATATTTGAAAAAATTAAGTTTAATATGAAAAAGTAAAGATTAATTGTGATATTAAAAAATAATTAAAATATTAATGAAATATTAATAAAATTAAAAATTAATTTAAAATTTTTTATAATTTTGCCCATCACTTATGAAAAATATATATGAAATGATTAATTATGAGAAAATAAACTTTATACCCAAAATATAAATTATATTTTAATTAAAGAATATTGAGGAATTTTAAAATTATAGTAGGGGAAGGAGGGCTAAGTAGGTGAATGTTTTTAAATTTAATGATATTAATGTTGAATATTAATGTAGTTATTCTTAAATAATTGAAAATCTGCGAAATTTTAAATCAAAAAATTTTATCTTCAATTGTTATAATAAATTTTGTACAATATTATACTTTTAAAAAATAAAATTGAATAAAATCACAAAATAAATTTTACACATAGTTGCCATTCCCAAAATTACAATTTTTATTTAAAGCTTAAGCATTATGTAAAACACACAAACTCATTTAATTCATTATTCAAGTTAAAATATTATTAACGATTTCTTAAAAAAGGAAATTATTTTTACGATTTTGGAAGGGACTTCGGTGCATCTAATGAGCGTATAAGGTACGGAACTATAAATTGTGTTCATAGCGCAGACAATCTTCTCACTAGTTATAAGAAATTCCAGCTATGTCAACCAGCTAGCCGCCTAAATTTAGTAGTACTTGGAGGCGTCTCGATATCGCAAGAGAAATGCGTATTCACCAATAAAGTAAGAAACTTTATGAACGTTTATAGGTCAGCGTTCCATTAATACTAATTAGGAAAGAGGGATTGGATATTGCTTGTAACAAGACCCGTAGCAGACATTAAAGTTATATTTGATTAGTGATTATCTTTCTGAAATTCGTCAAATCTTCATTCCACCATGGTTTTTTTAAAGTATTTCAGAGGCCAGTCGCCTTGAAACCTCCTGATTTGGATCTTCAACTGCTCGCTATTATCAATGTTATTTTCAATATTTTAGCATGAACATAAACTAATGCCACACGATAGCATTACATGTAGCACAATTTGTTCTTCCATATGCATATAGAGTAATACAGAATTACCGTAATTTGAACGTCAGCAAATATAGATTTAATTCTATCAAAACCGACTTACACCATCGTTATCTATAGCCACAGAATTTTAAACAATTTATTTAACATAAATTTTTAAATGGTTTTTAAAAATAGAAGTAAATTAAATCTATTCAACACAGGAAAGAATTCCAAATTAAGAAATTTAAAAATGAAATATTATAAAATAAGTAGGTATATTAAAAAAATTCATGTAGGTCAGTGATTGAAAAGAGCTGACAAAACAAAAAAAATACAAAATTTTAATTAGAATCTCTTAATTCACCTTTTTAAAGAAGATTTATCCAATCAATTATATTACATGATTTTCTATTTTCTATATTCATTTATAAAATAGAGAAATTCTTTGTTTAATTTTGCTAAGTTCACTGCCCACTATTTTGTGTTCGGATGATTTTGTTATTCTTTTTTTAATTTACTAGCTACTAAATTTCATCAATATTTTTGTTTTAACAATAGTCATTCATTAATTTATTTATAAAATTTTTGAATACCAGTTAAGGGAAAACATTTCACTTTAATCTATTACTTACATTTTTATTTTTTTTTTTTCATTAAATTAAATTTTCCGCCTCTTCTTAAATATGTTTAAAATAATAGAAAAAATTTAAGTATAGAAGAAAATTTTTTAAGTTGATCACAGCAATTGTAGGATAATTGAGCGTATCTAAATATAGCATGACATTTCTATTTGGGGTTTTGATAATCATTAAAAGAGTCAATATTGTAATTTTTTTATAACAAAAACTTGAAAATATAACAAAAGTGAAATATAACAATTAATCATAATGATTTTCACAAGTAGCAGGAGTTCGAAATTAAGATTTTTATTTTTAGTAATTAAAATAAACTGCAGATAATACGATCATAGGACTGAAACACTGAAATGTAAAAATGTCACACCCTTCTCGTTATATAAAACGATTCAGCTCATTCCAACGAAGTAAACAACTTATATTTTACTAACCGATTGTGTTTTGATTCCTGTTATGGATATAAGGAGGCAAACTGTATATTTTGGTATTTACATACAAATCAAAATCAATTGCCCGAAAGTATACGAAAGAAAAACGAATTGCTCGACTTAAAAGTGCTCATCATATACGAAAACCAAGAACAATATTATAGATAATTATACATACTACAGGCATTTATTTCACTTATAAATATTTATGTACATACATACTTAGATTTATACATAAAAAGTCATATATGTATGTATGTATTTTAGAAATCATAGTGAAATATGTCAAAAATTTATGTGCTTTTCTTTTGTTTAATTTTCACTATAAAATTGTAATTAAAAAAAAAAACTATAAAAGAAAACTAACAATTTTAAAAATTCATTGTTTAATAATTCATCATGATCATCATCCATCAGCATAGTAGCATCATTATCACTATCATCATCATCAACTCAACTATCATTATCAACATCATCATCTTTATTATTATTATTATTATGTTACCTAACTTAAACATCTTTAAAATATAATTATTTATTTAAGACAAAAAAGAGAAGATAAACAGTCCCATGTACCATCAATTAAAATAACTTGCATAGCTTTTTCTTTTTGCTTTTTTTTTTGTTTTTCTTTTGCTTCAAAATTATGATGAATAATTATAAATGCTGGAAAAAATAACAAAAATTTTATATTTTATGAAAAAAAAAAAGAAGAAAAATATGTGCTCATCACAACGCATAATTTAAAAAAAAAAAAATTGCAATCACAGCTACAACACAGAGAACAATCACTCAAATAAACAAACAAAATACATAATAAACTAAAACTGACCTGTCAATGTACTTTAAACAATAGGAGTACATAGGTGAGTACAGTGAGTACAAAAATAATCCGAAAATAAAAAATAATTTATTTTTTTTTGCCTGGTTATATGCCTGGTTGATTTCAATAGTAAATTTATGAACTTTTTTTTTCGTTTTATACTTTTTAATTCATCTCGTGCTTAAATTCGCGCATTCTCTTACACTGTACACTTATTGTTGTCATTATTAACACTTTTTGTTTTTAATTCTTTGGATTTTTTTTTTCTGCTTTTGTTTCTATTCAAATTATTATTGTTTTATTTGTATTTTGCCTACATACATACATATATCCACTAATAACAAAAGAGAGAATTTCATAAACATCACATAATAATAATTTGAAAAAAAAATTTAAAATTCAAAAAATTATTATAAAAATTTGAAAAATATAAAATTTTAATAAATTTTATTTTGAAACTGTCATTGAAATATTATCCAGTAGCTACTTAGAAATTTTTTATTTTATTTCTTAGTATCATGTTTGTTTTCAAATACAATACAGAAATTAATGCTAAACTTCAATTTCAAAGTAAATGCAGTAGATTTACTACAATTCAATATGTAACGGTAAATATTAAAAATGTCAAATGAAACGTAAACATAAAAAAATTTTTTGCTTTGACAATTGATTTAAACAAACACTCGGTGTATTAAATAATTACGTCAGCTGCGCTTAACCGAACGCATGCTTTCCCCTGTGAATTCTGAGTAAAATTAATTATTTGTCCTAGCTTAATACATATGTAAATAAATAAACCACAATTCTAATTTTAAACTGACAATTCAAATCATGGTACATATTAAATAATGTGTAAAACTTAAATGACAAAATGCAAAACGTCATCTCTTTTATTCTGTCATCTTAGGTTATGTTATATTTTGAAGAAAACTTTTAAAAAATGACAATACTGCAATATTTTTTAATACTATTTTATTATAGATATTAAAAAACCCTAAAATTTAAAGCAAATATTTTTGTAATAAATTAAATATTTTTCTTAAATTTTAAATTTTACCACCAAAAAAGAGTAGAGTATGTGTGCACCATAGGTTTACACAAACCTACATACTCTAGATTGTTATTTATTTTAAAAATTTTCATTAATTGTACTTTTTTAATTTTCAAACAATGAGTTTGAAAAATACGAGTATTCATGGAAAATATTTTTATTTTTGTTTTTGCTCACTTCCACTAACTGTCACGAAATATCTAGTGTATATAATATTATAAAGATCTTCTTCTATTTTTTTTTTACATAATTGAAATGAAAATTTAAAAAATGAAATGGTATAAAAACAATTATACCATGTAATCCAACTAAACACACATTTCTTTTTTTTTTACAAATAATAACAGAAACTTAACCAACTAAACAAATAAAAAATAATCGCATCTTTAAATAGATCCCACGCTAAAATCGAAAACGAAATATTTTTATGGTTAAAATTTTTTTGTTGTCGGATTAAAAACCTTATTTTTAATCCAGCCATTATTTTCCTTCGTCGAAACTATATCAGTATGTAGAAATTTAATTATTCAAGTTGAAGTTTGTTTGAAAGTAAGTAAGCATCAAAAATGTAATGAAAAAAAATTTTGTATTTTTGTTTTGCAGTAGTTTTCGATCATACCAACGCGAGTTCTCATGATTTTATACGAGTGAAAATTTAAATTTTTCACTTTTAATATTTTATTTTTGCAATAAATTCCAAAATAATTTTTTTTGGAATTATTTTATTATTTTCCACAAGGCTCACAGAAATTTTTAATTTAATTTGAATATTTCCTTAAACTTTCGTTTTTTTACGGATGTCTTCGGGTGTCTCTC